TAAGAAAGGACTTGTATCGCTGAAGTTTCTCGGAAAGAATTTCTACGGGAAATTAACAAACAAGCAGATAAGTAACAATATGTATTGTTGGTTAGTCGAAAGGAAGCTTAAGGTACCTTTATGAACGTGACCTAATTAGGTAATGTCTAGAGCTTTCTCCAACGCGCAGGAAACAATTTGAACAATATAAAAAAGCTAGTGAGTGAATCTAACAATCGGACAATGAGTAATTGGGTTATGATTTAGTCAGCCAGTTAGACAGTAAGTTAATTAAATGATGTGAAATACTCAGTGAGTTTGTTTTGTTTTTTTTTCGACAAAGAAATAGAGATACGAAATTAGTAAATAGATAGAAGGAATATTTGATATACCTTATTTGTAAAATTAAGTTTATCGGCGAAAATTAGTTAAACTAACCGTGGAATTTGAAATTGAAGAAATAAAACATTTGTTATTGTTGTTGTTATCGTTAAGTGACTCTTTAAATTTTTTTTTTTCAGAATAGTACAAAATAAGCGGTCAACAGCAGAAACCATTACAACAGTATTTGTAAGCTAGTTCTGTGGACCTTCTACGTTTCGTTTTTGACATCCAATATAAAATATAACTATGGAGAGTCTCGCTTTAGCTATTAAGCCAAAGGAAATCAGTCAGGTATTAGTCAAAAACGAGGGAATACGAAAAGAAAATAAGTTGATTGTAGACCCACTTATTTCTGTAGGTAGCACGAAGTTCGTGTTAAACAATAAGCCACTCTGAGATAATCACTGATTTATCTGTGTGATTACTGCTTTCTTACCATTCCTGCTAAAGTATAGTTATGAAGATAAATAAATATATATACGAATATCGAAACCCGGACTTTAGCGGTATGAGTCCTCGGTAAGGGAAAAGTTGAAAGTGAACAAATTGAACAGTAATATTTATTCATTGATGAATATTGTTTTCAGTCAATAACATTTATAAAACTCTCCAACGTTAAATTAAACTACACGTTTATCTTGTTAATATAGATACTCATACCGGTCATTTGTGTTCAATTAAATCCCCGTTTTCGGAAAATCAAACTGTTTCGGAGCAAAATATTTCCACAATAATTGATAAATTTTCAGTCCCAAAGGTTACAAAAGTGACCTAAACGAAAAAGTTTGTTGCTTGGTTGTTATTAAGCGAAAGTCTACACAATGGGCTATCCGTGCTCTGCCCGTCCCGACTTTCGAAACACGATTTTTAGCATCGTGAACCCTGCACACTTGTAGTAAATATATAAAAAGAAACATATTAATGTATATATTCTGAAGCTTGGTTATTGCTTTTGCTGTTTTGATTATATATCTAACATTTTTTATAAATCAACAAATTACTTTATAAGTATATTTACTGATATTTCAGGGGAAAATGGGAATTTCGAAAAAAATAAATACAAAAAGAGAAGATCGATGCCACTATTGAACTTTAGGAGAGCAAGCCAAGAAGGTTTGCCATCTAGTGAAAGTAAAAAGAACTGTAGTGGTGTAGAATGGAAAAAAGAGAGCCCAATATGTTACGAAACTTTGTCAGTGTCAAGTTTAAATTTAGACAAGAAAGATGATAAGTTCAGTGGTGTGTATAATTCGAAAACATTCTGTGATAAAAGTGCCAAGAAGCTGTCTGTCTTGCCCGACTTGACTATTAAAGGATTTACAAACGCGGCCTTGGATATGTCAGATGATGAACTGGCTCCGGTTGACCATTGTGAGGGCACAGAACGTCTTCCCCATGGTCGCTCACCGCGATCAGGGTCTGTTGTATCCGTCACATTACGTAATGTTCCCATAAAGGTAAAGAGACAGGCTATTGACCAGGAATACGTAAATGAAAGGTTTACCGGAACTACGTATCCCCCTCCATGTGTATCGTTAAAAGATAAGGTGAGTCTAAATTTTAAAGTCTTAAGAGAATCTGGATATCTGATCTGAAGAATCAGCTAAAAGTAGTCATTCTGAAACTTAAAAGGCCTTGCCAAAAATATTATGTAACATGTAGAGGACGTTGGTGTCATTAATTTAAACTGTTATGTTATTATAGAAAATGGGTTTGTCTAAATTTAGACGTGCGTAAGTTATACAGTACATGTTACGTCTCTATATGTTTGGAACATGACCAGAAAGTTTTTTAAGTGCAACATGAATATACGAATAATAGATGAATAAGAATATTGAATTATTTAACTGTAAAATAAACGGATATACGAAAATTGAAATTTCCCGCGTTACAAATAGAAAGTTACCAACAAACACATATAAATTGTAAGTTTATTTTCATTATAACTTTGAAACGATTTACTTCCCAAAGCAACACAAGCTTTATAAATTATAATGATTTGTCTACCATTACCAAAATGGTTTTCTTACAAAGCAGATATATATTGTAAGGAAGCATTATATGTTTGAAAAGGTAGAAATATAAAATTCAAAACTATACCATGAAATAACTGAGTACTTTAGCATCAGTTGTTGAATTAATTTGTTTATTCAAATATTGATATATAAATACATATATATATATTTTATTGATAAAATTTTACTTTAGTGAGAATGAATTAATACATTTTCCTTGGAAGTTTTACATCAAGTGTGTGAAATAACATAAT